CAGGAAAAAATACATATTAGCATTGCCAAAGCATATGAGGAGTGTTTATGGGATGGATCTCTCTCTGTATGCCGGGTGTCATTCTCGGTATCTGTTCTTATTCTATGTAAGGACTCCGCACAGTACCACTTCCCTTGTCCTGGGGGAGGGGAGGGGGCGGAGTCACATGGGTCCTCGCCGGGTATCTGCTCCATATCAGAAGGACAAAGTTCGCTCCAACTCCTTGTCACTTTATACCACTGACTGCATCTGTTCCCATCGGGGTCACATGATAACGAGGAGGGGGAGGGGGGCAGCCCTCAGCGCCTCGCACACTGTAAACAAGTGGTATCAAAAGTGGAGCCGACAGAATCTGGAGCAGTTGCCCATGGCAACCAATCTGCTTCTCTCTTTCATTTTCAGATCTTACCTGAGCAAACTGAAGAGAGAAGCTGATTGGTTGTCATGGGCAACTGCTGCAGATTCTGTTGGCTCCACCTTTGATAACTCCCCCCCCTCCCGGGTCAGAGTCCTGTACAACACCATAGTATATGTCAGAGCTTTGAGATGGAACATTGTACAGAGGTATAGACCGTCCCCTCCATCCTCACCATCGGGGAGTACATACCCGATATTTACCATCGGAGCCAACCCAATACTGAACCCTACGGACTAAGACTGGGATGCCATTAGAGGGCGGAGCCAACCCAATACTGAACCCTACGGACTAAGACTGGGGGGCCATTAGAGTTCATGTGCGTGTAAAGGCGTCCCAATACTAATGGCAATATAGTGTATGTATAGACCTGACCTCCGACCTCTGACCTGCATTTTTCCATATATAGAGAGACAACAGGTGAACAGACATTAGGTGGTCACGCGGTCGGTCACATGGTCTTCCTGACCCCACAATGGAACGGAGACTCTTTGGGACGAATGAACAGACGGACAGATTTATTGCTTTCATTTGTCTTTTATTATCTCCGGGTTTCCTGCGCAGGCTCTTGAAGCATCCGTTGGGTTCCAGTGTATTTGTTTAGTTGTGGGTGGAGGGGTGAAGGGTTGGAACCCCTGTCAGGTTTTTATTGCGGTCTGTGACCCCCCATTGGGGAGATTCACCGTTTGTTCTGGTGAGACAGGAAGTGAGGGAAAATCTCCCCGTTGGGGACAGTAAAGTGACCTGTTTGGGGGTCGTGTCCCCCCCCCACATCGGCGCCACCTGCTGCCAGTATATTGCACACGGAGGGCGATACCTGACCTTCTCAATCTGGGTGGAGTCGGTATTTGCATGTGTGGCCCCGCCCCCTGTGTCACGATATG